ACTAGAAGGATCTACAACTATGACATACATACAACTATCTACTGGGGCTTTGGAGAGAAAAAAAGGAAAAAAGGAGGAAGATTGGCAACAGATGTTCACTCAGGGCCAATCTTCCTCAAAAAAAAAAAAAAAAGGTTACCCAAAATGTGGCAATCTGCTATTAAACTTATATCATCAATCTCATGGTCACTAGAAATAGTCTTATCCAGAATAACCAGCATGATAATGAAATAAGACAATGTAATGGTTGCAATGAAAATCTCTTAATAATCAAAGATTTTCTAAATTGTTTCACTTCTCTTGCCTTGATTTTTTCCTCTGTAAAATGAAAGGATTTTATCCATAATCACTAAAGTCCTTTCCAGCCCCCAGATGCTCCTTGGGCAGTTCATCTGAAAGGGAGATAGCTCTGCTGGCTTCACCCTTAGGGGCTTCCACGAGCTTTTCATATAGCTGGAGAGCTTTTGGACTTTCAGAAACCAACAGGTATCTTTTTTTAAAGCCATAAACATTGGCTGACATGTGGAAATGTGACTGAGGAATAGAGCAAAGTGGTCTACTTAAAACCCTGGGTTCCTCCCTAAGAGGCAATCAAGGGAAATGGAAAACTGATAGGCCCTAAACCTGAGCCCAGGCCTGAGATACTCTCAATTGCCTCCGTCAGTTTGGTCCTCACTTTGCTTTCGTTATAATGCCTAGATGAAACTCCTGCTCCCCTCCGTAGTTCCCCAACTGATCTTTTTTCTTTTTCTTGAATCAGGTTTAACTTTCTGAAGGCTGAAAATCATAAAACAAAAAAATGATATGAAACAGGGAGGAAGGAAGAGCGAGCTGTACTCACAGAAGTGTAGAATTGAAAGGAACATTTTAATGTTAAAGCCTCAAAAAGAGGCCAGACTACTGACTCCTCAGAGGGTTGACTAGTGTGAGCCACATACATTAGCACTTGCCTCCTCAGGCTGATCTGTTTGTTGGTTGCTATGTGGATGGTGATAAAATATCCATTTGGGTGGGACAGAAAATTATATTACACTCTTATAGCACATCTGTGAATACTGGCCTTTTGAACAAATGACCGTAGTTCACTAGGCCTCCGCGCTGTGAGAGGCTGCTTCCCAAATACCAACTTTGAGCCTAGCCCTACCATAAAGACACACGGGGCAATGAAAAATAGCGTCTGAGGGGCCCCAAAGCATGAGAAGCTCTGGCAAAAAGTGACAGGTTTTATCCAGGTTGCTGAAGAGAAATGTACTGAGACTAGAAAGACTACAAAGGTGCACGCCTTCGGAACGTGTCTGTGGATCAAAATACACCCTAACAGATTCTTGAGAGAGCCCCTGGCAGCTGTGTTAACCTTGGCATTGTTATCAAGAGGCTATGCTCATTTCTGGCACCTAACATTGGACACAGTGACAGCAACGGGGTTGATGGAAAAGGAAAGAATCTGTTTTGCAGTTAAAAAAAAAAAAACAGTTCTCAGATTTCACAGGTCATTTGAAATCACGCCAGAGAAATACTTGATTTCAGCATTCTTAAGCTCTCTGCGATGATGCCGCAAGTGGTGGCCCCCACGTGTGACGATGTATTTCAGGGCCAGAGTTTTCTCAAGATGTTCCAAGCCTGCAGGCTCCTGATCCTTTTTCAAATTACGAAGATGATAGTATCCCAGTGAGAGTTGTGATTAGTCTAAACTCTCCACAGCTGTGAGAGAAGACTGTACAAATTCCAATAAAGATTCTGCATGTTCTGGACCGAATTTACCTACGTGACATTGAGGCCTAACTCAGAGACCACTTAAAAGAAGCAGAACTGCCTCAGTGCTATTCCATTTCTTCCATAGCATCAGCTGCTGGGAGGCTGGCAACTGTTCTGCGAGGGTGCCTCCCCTCACACCGCTGTCACTGCCTAGCCGTGGGTGTTTATTTAGAAGGTCTTCGATGTGTGGGGAGAGAAGCAGGTCTGGGAAAATTAAACCCAAGTACATGGGAATTCAAAGAGGCCTTGCAATTCATTATGTGAATAGCCAGGAGGATTATAAAACACCTTGTAACTGAAGGGGTTGGCCTGGAGCTGTGTGGGACAACAGAACCAGCTGTATCATGACCTCTAGCTCATTTAGAATGGTGCTAGCAAGAAGGCAGGCTCAGAGCATTCTTCAGTTACTTGGAAAAACCAACAAGGCTCTGTTTTCCTATCTTGGACACCTTTTCCCTAAAACACTTCCTTGGAATACTTGGTAAATATAATAATACACACTATGCCCCTTCTACCATGTTTAATAACTATACCATCTGAAGGCATTTAGCTATAATCCTTTGTGAAACATCTGGTGTTCAGCATGCTTTCCATGACTGGGAAAGACAGGGGACAAGGATTCACATCATTGTCTACACATATTAACAATTATAGAGATAATAAATAAGATTCCTTACTTTGGAAAACCAAAAGAAAATGCCAAAAGAATATATAATATGATTTTTAAGAAATTATCTTCTAATATGATTTGCATGAATGTAGAATCTTCTGTACATCTACCTCCATTGTTTAGAATCCACTGAAGCACACCCTGGTATCACTCCTGACATCTGGAGATTTTTAAGAGTGTACTATCATTTTACAATTTATCACACAGCCATACATTTATGTGTCACACTCTGTGACATATGGCATTTCTCCTTGCAGACTCTGAACTCTCTAAGGCAAACCAGAAAGACAACATGACAAAAGTCAGAAGACACAATGGAAAGCTGAACGAGCTATAAACAAAATTCTCAAAACACCAACCTCTGCATGATCCTCACATGGTATTTTACTAAAATGGGGTGGCAGTGGAGGAAGAAGGGAACAAGCTCCAATTTTTTTCTAATATTCATGCAAACAAAACGCAACTAGAAACATTTCCTCTTTTATCTTTTCATAGTTCTTCACACAAATCTTTTAAATGCTAACAGATTCTTTCAATGACTGGTACATACCCCCTCAGATTTCATCTTTTCTAGAGAAAAATCAAATCATTAATTTAAGCCTGTTAAACTTAATAGCAACTATGCATTACTTCCCCTGGAACCTCGTTGCAAGGGCAGCTTCAATATCAAGTGGCTTTTTCCTGTCTTTCTGCTGGAGGTCAGTTTCAAGTACAATCACCCAGCAAGGCAACTGAGGGAAAAATAACTTTTAAAAATTGAATGGGAAATCATACAATATACCAGGATTCTAATGGCTAAAACAAAGCTGGAGGGAGACTAATCAAAGCAGCTAAGAGGACTGTTGCCTTGCTGAGATTATTCAAGGTTGGACTGATGGTAACAGCAGTGTGCTGGTAAATGTTGGACAATCAGCTCTTAGGGAGAAAAAGCCATGTTTTGTAGCATTTGCAACTTCCCTGGTGTAAATACACCCACGAAGGCTAATTTCAGGCTACCCAAGTGACCTCACTGAATGTGAAGTTAAAAGATTCACAGTAGCAACCCATAGATAGTATTTCAGATACAATAGATGTAAATAACCTCAACAACATATAGTAAAATGTAGTGAAATAACCAGACTGTGATGAATTTTGAGTATTACTTTTGTTTTTAATATAGTTAATTTAATTATAAGTTTACATAATTTAATTTTTAATAATGGTTGCATTTAACAACTGGCTCCCAAAAGTCATGAAAATTGAAAGGTGGGCTATAGCCAGCAGGTACCATTCACTCCAGCACACCACTGCATGTTGCTCTTCAGGGACATTAAAGATATTTTGAACAAACAACAAATCAAATAAATGAAGCTACTAAATCATCTGGATCAAACTATCTCCAGAGTTTCCAAGGGTGCCAACCCCTTTGCTACGCCACTTGAGAAATACTCCAAGTTCAGGTTTCACCATGCATAGTATTCATAGGAATACCATCAAACGACAATACCTTCCATTTGTATCACGCATTACACTTTTCATAGTGCTTTTATAACACGGTGGAACAGTCTGACCCTGCATGGTGAATTTAAATCGGTGAGTAATAGGATTTCATTGCCTAGTGGGTGAAAAGAGAGTCCTGGGAGCTGTTTGTCCAAGAGAGAGGCGGAGGGGTGGAGCTGGGAGCCAGGCAAGGAAGCCCAGAGGCTGGTCGGCCGCCCCGACGTTCCAGGTTTCCTCCTGGAAATGGCTCCATCACTATGCAAGCAGGTGTACAGTAGTACCAGGCTTTCCTCCCTCTCTCCTGTTTTCTGACTGCAACTTGAGAGTTTTGATGAGAACTCAGTTTTTTCTGATGGGAAAAAAAAAGGATTGGACGGAATACGCTCTAAGAGTCCTTTAAAAACCTAAAATTATTAGAGCCACAACATTCAAATACGCTCTGTTGTGACAGAATAACTTTGTAATGTTTTTCTCCCGATCCAAACATACCTGTTACTGCAGCAGACACTTAAGCGCAGACTCTACATAGATTTTGCTGCCAAAATTAATACCAGCAGTAGTCGTGGCCGAGTGGTTAAGGCGATGGACTAGAAATCCATTGGGGTCTCCCCGCGCAGGTTCGAATCCTGCCGACTACGGAGAAGGTAGTTTTTCGCTACTGGTACTCACACTTGTTTTTGTTCTCGAAGGGTCTCCTTGGCTTTTTTGCAGATTATTTAAGGAATTTATGAACTGTCGGAATACAACGGAGACCCCAATGGGACCGTAAAAGGAGTGGATGAGGGAGCTAGAGAGTTGTGTAATTGTGGTTACAACCTGAGTCCAGGAGGGGGAGACGAGACAAAACACGCCAGACAATCTGGAACGCAGAAGAGCAAAGCGTCCCGAGGTCGCGCAGAAACGGACAGCTCAGACGTCCGGCTCCACAGGGCCACCCCCGCCGCCCCGCCTCACCGCCCCGCCTCACCGCCCCATGGCGTCCTTTCGCGCGAGCGCGGGAGCGCGGAGACCTGGCGGGCTCCCGGGGCAGCCTCGGGACGGCGCGCGCATGCGCGGGGGCGGTGAACGCGAGGGCGGGCGCGGCGGGTCCTCGCGTTGCCCCTGGAAACCACCCAGCGCGACCGCGACGTGACGATTCAAGATGGCGAAAGACCTGGATGAGCTGTTAGACGAGGTTGAGTCCAAGTTTTGCAGACTAGACCCACTGAGACTGGGAATGGTCGAGCGGCCCAGTGGCGGCGGCAGCAGGAGCCTCAGCAGCGACCGGAACCGAGCCGAGGCGAAAGAGTCTCTCAGGTTAACGGGCGGGAGGAGGGGGCTGCTCTGGGAAAGCCTGCTCCCGGTCCTAAAGCCGCCCCTCCGCCGCCGGACCCAAAGAAACATACCCCTGCCCGCGATCTCCAGCTCCTCTCCCTGTCAGGGCCCAGAGCCTCAATTCCCCACCCCCGGGGCAGCGCACACCTCAGCTCCCTGCCCACGAGGATCCTGGCATCTCTTTCCCAGGCCCGACTCCGCCCCTGGGCAAGCACAGGAGAGCGGGCCTCGCCGATACCCAGACAGAGCCCATGGAGTTCTGATGGGAGAAGGGGGGGTGCAGCTTAGGCGTTCTCCCCTGAGCCCCGAGGGGGCCGCGCGGACCTGCGCCTCCTGCCTGAGCGGTTTTCATCCCGACGTGAGGTGTCCGCACAGAGAACCTCATCCTGTTGCCTCTGACCGCATTCCCCAGGCAGAGCAATCCTTAGGACAATTGTTGCAGAAACCGATTCCATTCTATTCTGTGTTATCATCAGCTGATTTTTTTTTTTAGCTCAGACAATTGGATGAGATTAGATTTCTGACAAAGGGTTAATTATTAGCAAACACTGTATTAGTCCAACCACCTTCATTCTCCCCATGGCTTCCAGGTAAGGGTCCCAGGGGATTTTGGGCGTCCAAATTGAAATTTGGGGAAGTTTCTTAAGTCTTTTGGTTTTGATCCGAAAAACTACCTTTCAAATTTGTCAGTCATTTTTCTTCCGTGTAATCATAAAATAATAAGACTTCCTTCGTGGTCTCATTTCCCCCTCAATCCCAAGAAAACAAAATTTTTGCATCAGAAGGAGTATTGTCCTTCATAGTGGTGACTTGAGAGCCTCTGCAGTAACTCTTGCTAGAATCTGTTGGAAGTGCTTGTGGAATTACACAGAGGCAGCTTTGGAACAACCCAAGAAAGTCATTCTTGTTCATTTATGGCTGCATCTGTGGTTTTTATTTTGTTTAGGTGTGCTTGTGGGTGATTTCCCAGAAGTATTACCCAACTCCATGGCTACCCAATTTACCAGACCTACCTCTAATGACATTTGTTTGTTTGTGAAAATTACCCTCAGAGGATAAAAACATTGACAAGATTCTGAAGTTCAGAAACAAAAGTTCTACAAATAAGTTCAGTACTGGGCAGCATTCTGAAAAATAAATGTAGAGCCAACTAAAATGACTACTTTGAATGGGCTAACGCTTATTTGACTGAATGTTTATGCAAATATCTCGTTAATTTGGATATTATTATCTTGTATGCTGCATGTCCTTGTGTACTCATTCCCAGCACATCTATCATCCCCATCCCACAGCAGTGTTACCTTGCAATTTCTTTTGTTCTTTTCATTCATTCCTTTAGGGGATGGAGACAATTTATCAAAGAGCCTCCCAGAGCCTGTTCATCTTAGGAGAACTAGCATGGGAGGGGTAGGATGTCTTGGAGCAGGCTGCTCAAAATGGAAAGGGCTGCTAAGGTCGATCCTCTCCAAGCACAGGTCCTTTTATGCCGCTCTCCAGAGCCTGTTATGGTACTGCTAGGTCCACCCGTAATGCCTCTAGCGCCCCATCCTACCTTACTACATCAGGTTTTCTAGTAATACATTTTAAAAAGTTGTAGCAAACCAGTGCTGTTGTCATTCACGTGTTAAAACGTTTCATTTGGTTATGTAGTTGTAAAGGTAAATTATACAAAAAACAACAACAAAGGGCCTAAAGCTAGTACCAAATACAGTCCCTACCCAGTATATAATGTCAAACGTTAAAATTTTGCCATGAGCCGAAATTGATATTTAAAAATTAGGAACTGATTTATATTATGAATTTATTAATAGGAGACTGCCTGCTTATTGTATAGTAATATAGCCTGTATCTCTTTTCGTTATAAGAGTTAAAATACTGAAATTGTCTCAAAATGTTAGCTCTGCAAATAATAAACTAAATGATCACGCTACATCTGGATACCAGGAACAACCGCTAATATAAGTGGTTAAAACATATGCAATTTGTTGAAGTGTTCAAAATGATAAAGAGAAATATGTGGTTAGTTTTTAAAAAAGACTGATGTGGGTTGAATAGGACTGCCATAGGCATAAAGTGGTTCAGGATGATACAGATGGGAATATTTACAGATAATATCATAACCTCCTAGATAATAGCTATAATAATAGCCAGCATTTATTGCATCCTTTCTATATCCTAAGCGCTTTATATGTATTATTTCGTTTAATCTCTGCAAACCCATGAGGTGACGACTACTAATACCCCATTTCACTAACCAAACCAAGGCTTAGAAAAATAGTTACTTGCCCAAGGTCCTATTTCTAAGTCTACCGGGACACTGTAGATCTAGATTTAAGCTTTTATATATACCTTTCACATTTAATTGTGAGTTTCATGTATTTATATTTCTTTTATCTTGAATATACCTTTATTTTTCACAGAAACTATATCTTAAATCAAAATTAGAGTGTAGGAAGCAAAGTTAGGGAGGAAACCAATAAAAGTTTATTAACTTTTGATTAAGATTATTGTATTATAACATCAAGAGACCAAAAAAGAAAGTATTACACTGTCCTTTAAAATTTGTATGCATTCTCAATGAAATGATGGCATTCTTTTTTTTTTTTTTTTTCGTTTCTATAGCAAAGCATAGGCAAGGGTAGACATCAAAAAGTTATGTGAAATATTAGACCAGAATCTTATATAAGCTGACAGTTTGGATCCCTAACAGTACTGATTAGGTTGGTAAAGTTTAAATGCATCTGATTTTTGAAATTGTGAAATTGCATGAGAAAGGAGAACCCAGAGAGTATATCAAGAAAACCAAAAGAAGAGAGAATTTCAAGAGGCCATCTTAGCAACCTGCTGTCATAAAAGAAATTGGTACCCAACAGTGTCAGATATTCCTGAAAGATTAAGGAGGATTGGAATTGAGAAAAGCCATTCAGTGTAATGACTTGGGCAGCAGTGACCTTTGAGAGAAGAGTTTCAGTATAGTTGAGGGACATAGAGGCCAGAGATAGAATATTACACCTGGAAGAAGTTTTAAATAGTGGTCTAGATCTCATTTTTACAGATAAAATATCTGAGGTTCAGAGAGGGTAAGTAATTCAAACTAGGTCAGTAGTTTTCAACCGGTGATGATTTTATCCCTCAAAGGGCATTTGGTGATGTCTTGACACTTTTGATTATCACAACTGGGGAAGAGTGTTCTCCTGGCGTCTAGTGTGTAGAAGAAGTCAGGGATGCTGTAAATCATCTTACACTGCACAACAGCCTCCCCTCCTCACACACGCATACCCCAAAGAATTATCTGGTCCAAAATGTCAGTAGTTCTAAGGTTGAAAAACCCTCCTCAGGTCACCAGCTGATTGCTACTTGTAAGGAAATAGAAGTAATGGATATAGACTACTCTTCAGTAATGAGTAAGGGAGGGTGGCAGATTCAAGAGGGCTTTTTAGAGTGTTTCTTTGAAGAGAGAAGTGTTGAGTATACTTATAAGTCAATGGAAGAAGCCAGTATAGAGTGGAAGATATTAAGGATAAAAGTTAGAGAACAACTCAATAGGCAAAGCCTGGAGATAAATGGAACCAGACATTCAGTATTACGCAGCAGTCTCTGGATTTTCTTACATTAGGTTAATTGTCTTACCTCATGCAGTAAGAAAGAAAGGCTATATTCCTGATATTAAGAATTTTCAGAGAAAGTACACTTCTAAAATTAGAGAGTTTGACTAAAAAACGTCTTCTAAAACAAATAACTTCATGATCCAATGACGTTATGAAGCTGATGTACAGCTTCTGTAACACATGAACTCTAAAGAGATTTCATCTCGTTTAGTGTTAGGTGTACAGACTGCCCTAGATTCAATTCTAAGCCTCTCCTCCCGCTATTTGTGTGACCTTGGGTGAGTTTCTGAATCTCTTAGTCTGTTTCTTCATCTGTGTAGTAAGTATTCAGTAAATGTTACTATTAAATAGAAGTTCCATGCAGTGACAATTTGTATCAATAATCCTGTAATAGCTTAACTGCAGAAAGTAAAGAAATAGTTGAGATACTCGCTCAAGCAAATATTGCTCTCTTTTTTTTTTTATTGGTCATTAGATTATATAACCTTTTGCTCCTCAGTGAAGAGATAGGATTGTTTGACTTACAATGGCACCCTTAGGGAAAAAATTAGAAAGACATTAAAATTATCTTTGTTTATGACTCGCAGGTTCTACCTAAAATTTTACGTATTTTGTATTCTTTAAATAAGTGGTTGATGTAATTTAGAACAGTACATGCCTAGCTTTCTCTTGACTATAATGTATAGCTTTAAATATCTTATTTTAAGCATGTAAAAGTACATATGTAAATTTGTACCCGATAAACTACTATGTCTCGCCAAACTTAGGCTGTGTCCATCGCAGGAAAAATTAATTAATGTCACATTTATCCTTCTGTTTTATCAAGTCTAATAATGGACTTTATTTAAATAAACTTCTTCTGATACTGGCTTACTTTATCTGCGCTTAAGCTTCAGCTGTTTTGGTTTTTTTTTCAGATCAACAGAAACGTTTAGAAAAGAAGATGATCTTGACAGGCTTATTAATGAAATATTTGAAGAGCCCAACTTTGACAAAAAACCCATTGTAAGTCAAGTGTTATAAATGTGCAGTAATTCTTTTATTATTTCAAGACATGTTTAGAATAGTCTGACAATTTATAGAATGTACAAGTATCTATAGTCCTTTGACTTCTGAGAAATTCAGTTAAAGAAATAATTCCACTTAGAGTTGTAGAAGAAGTAAAATATTAGAAACTTTCAGTGTGTGTTTTGCTGTTCATTTCTCAGCGAGAATGAGGATTTAGAAAAGCTGTTAGAACATAAGTCAACTCTGATGAAGCTGGTTATTTGCATTTATGTGTAGACTCTAGGAACGGTTTTCTAAAAGACTAAAACAAACAGCTCTCATTAAGGGAACGTGCTTAGCGTCTCAGATGCAATGCCATTGCTGTTATCCCATGAACCAATGAGTAAATTGTTAATGTTTTAATTTTTTAAATGCTTATGTATCTATAGCAACTTCATAAAAAGCTCATAAAATAATACAACAGCCACCTATATATTTACCACCCATACTGAACGTATCTTAACATTTTCTATATTTGCTTCTCTGGATTTTTTTTAAAGATTTTATTTATTTATTTTTTCCCCCCAAAGCCCCAGTAGATAGTTGTGTGTCGTAGCTGCACATCCTTCTAGTTGCTGCATGTGGGACGCGGCCTCAGCATGGCCGGAGAAGCAGCGCGTCGGTGTGAGCCCGGGATCCGAACCCGGGTCGCCAGCAGTGGAGCTCGCTCACTTAACCACTAAGCCACGGAGCCGGCCCAGGATTTTTTTTAAAAGAAATAAAAATTATAGATATAGTTTAAGAACTCTCCAAATCTTATTCTACTGCCTTCCTTCCCAGAAGTAACCACTATACTTTCCATCTGTACTTTTATTACATATGTATATAACCATAAACAATTTTAACTGATGTATAATAGTCCACTGTGTAACTCTGCCACAGTTTATTTACCCACTTCCCTGGTGATGGACATTTAGATTATGCTAGTTGTTTGCTCTTACAAACAATCCTTCATCAGATATCTTTACATGTCTTCTTTTATCCATGTACAAGAGTTTCTCTAGGATGTATAAACCTAAGAGAGGAATTGCTAGGTCAAAAGGTATGCTCATCTTCAACTTTTCTACCCATTGCCAAAGTGTTTTCCAAAGTGACTGTATCCTTTATATTCTTCTCACCAGCAGTGTGTGAAAATTTATATAATTTTTACCAGTTTGGTGAATGCAAAATATATTTGTTAGATTTAAAAGAAACAGACCAGATGGGAGTCTAAATTACAAGGACCACAAAAAAGTCTAAGAAATAGATATAATACCAAAGAGGGTTTTTTTAAAGGTAGAGAAGATTAAAGCAAGAGAGTGGACTGACAATCACTAGGCAGTGGTAATGTTAAGGATATAGATGTGGGACACTTATATTTTTGCAAGCCAGACTAAAAATAAGATGACTAGTATAGATCATAAGATTTGTATTTCTCTAAATTTAACATTTTCAGTTCATCTGAGGTAAATTAATAAGCTAATGGCCTAGTTTATTAACATGTTAACACAATAGCAATGGCGTTGAATACTCTGCAGACAGAATGCATCATAAATGCCAAATAGCAATGCTAATTTAATTAATAGTAGGGAAAAAACTGCATGATGTTGTTATCCATTGATCATCTGAGCAATTCATTATTTATTAAGTACTACAGGCTGCATATCTGTATGTGAGGCACTATCTCTGCAGTTCACAGCATTTCAGAAGGAGAAGGAGATACTTCTCTGGTTTGGATTTAAGACATACTAATTGAAATAAAAGTTAACTCTTAAAATCATGAAAAAATAAACTTTTATGCACTTCTTCTGTATGCTCCCTTTTTTTAGTTATTTATTATATCCAGTATTCCAGCCTGCGAGGGAGAAAGCAACCAAATAAACTTATGGAGAAGAGCAGGTCTATGTAAAACATTGATTTGATGAAGAAAAGAGGTGTCTATGAATGACTGGTCTATGCCCATCTTGTCCCTCGAGGCTGATCATGCTCCTGAGAGTATTGTTCCTTTCCCCATTGCTCACTCACTGTTCTGCGTCTTCTGAACTGGTTTCACATCCACGGGATAAAGCCCAGAAACAACAACAAATGTCACAGTGTGCCAGCTTTGAGTCATAAGTGTGAGCCTGGATGGTACATGAAACATGCTCCCAAAAACAAAAAGAGCCTCATGCACATTATTTTTCAGACATGCACGCACCAAAACTTTTTCCAGTTCTGTTTAACGTCAAATAAAAGAGTTAAGAGAAATAGTAAAATGAAATATCTTTGCCTCCATTAAATTTCCTCACCTACTAGGTAAAATGAAGGCATGTCTCTGCATAGTTTAAATTGCCTTTTCTCCATCTCACTTCCTCTCCTTGGCGGTGGTCCTAGTATGTGGTTGGTGTGGTGGTTTGGTACCATATACCAGTTAACACTTAATAAATGCTTGCTAATGATGATGTTATGTAACCATATAGGAACTACTGTATGGTTGTGACTAGGTAGCCCTACATTTTCCTTGAATGTCTATTGGTTGTACCATTCCATTTGATCAAAATTAATATTCCTGAAGTTATCCAGGAGTTTGGTTAATTTATTTTTAGTTCAGGTGAATACCATTCAAAGCCTTTAAAAATGAGTCTGAGGTTTTTTTCCTCCTCAATTGAATTTTTCTAGGATGAAGTTTTAAATAGTAGGTCCTTCATATTAAATCATTGAACTCTAGTATTAACTGAAGAGTTATAAAGTGACTCTAAATCTTAGCATGCTAATAATAGCAGTGTATCAATTTCCTAGACTAAAAGTTAGCAGGGTAATTTGCGAATTCCTCAGGGAGGTCTACTCTTTTGCCTTTCAAAGGTTTTGATCATTATTTTTATTTCAGAAACTTTAGTACAAAATTTTTATTTAAGTCATTTAAAAAGTATTCTTGTTATAAAATAAAGAATATTAGTTTTCATGTTACAATTCTCTAAGTTACTCTTGCCCTTTTATTGTTTGTTTTTTTAACAGAAATTAAAATCTAAATCTTCAGGTAACACATCTGTCAGAGCTTCCATTCAAGGCCTTGGTAAAAGGTAAGATGAGATTGCTTTGGTGAATTATACACACTAGTAAGCAAACACTATGAACATAGTCTGATAGATTTTGTTAGCATTTAAGCAACAGTGACATTGAACAACAAAGCACTGGTTGGCTTTCAGGAGAAAGACCAATAGCAATATCTTCAGTGTTCTTACGGTCTGTGACACCTTAGTGTAAAGGAACTTCAGTGGGAGATTATTGCTATTGTAAATAATTTTCTGCCATGTAAAAAAAAAAAAAAAATGTGTGAACAGTTTCTCAAAATTAATGTTCTGTTATATTCTTCAGTATTTACTTTGTTCCTTACATTATTTGGCAAACACGTTTTTCTGTGACTCATTTTTAACTCCTTGAGTGTTCCTGAATACACAGGTTATATCCAATAAAACAGTGATCCTGAAATAAACACCTCTTTGAAATAGTTGGCTTGCTCAGGAAAATATGCAGTTTGATTTCAAGAATATAGAGTCAATGAGGCCAAATTAACTTCTCCTATTTCTTTTTTGTTGTGGTGGTGTTTTTCTCTCCTCTGTTAGTGGGCTGTCTAGCTGCAGCCCAGTGTACCTTGGTGGAAGCGCTGCTCCACGTGGGATTGGGACCAGTACTTCACAGAGGTAGGATGTCAGAAATATATTATACTTTCTTATTAGGTTTTTCCAAATTGATACCCTGTTGTTAAAACGTTGGTCTTAGCATTTTGACATCAGTCTGTTTCATAATGAGAGGTATATTTTATTACCCAATCTAAGAATACTTTACTGAAATATTTGTTATTCTTGGGCGGTAGCTATTGAAAGCTGTGATGTTGAGTATGTGTTGTTCATTGTGTTGACTCCTTTTCAAGCCCCACTTGACGTGCCTGAATCACTCCACTCCCAACTTGGCTTTCACAGGACACCGGGAGAGTGAGCTTCTGCCTTGCCATTTTCTCTTTCCAGGCAGCAGAAGCCAGTGGATAAGACAGGTGAAGCGATGGAGCCATGCAGCTATATGATGTGTTACCCACACTGACTTGGCCAGCCAGTCAGCATGAGAAGCTGCAGGTCTGCAGTACCCAAAAAGTTCTCAGCATAGTTGTTTGATGTTCCACATTTAAAAAGCAGAAATCCTCCTTTCTTTGTCTCTTCACCACCTCTTCTTACACTTAACATCTTCCTCAGTACCTCTTTCTGGACAGTCTTATGGTCATAATGCCATCTACCCCAAGTCCTGTCCAATTGGCCTCCTACTCCTGGCATGTTCCATTATCATTGTCATAATGCAGGGAAACAGATTGGTTTTAAGCAAATCTTTCTATTGTTCTAATACTTTTGGTTCTATTTTTGTAGAGGCCTTCTTACCTAGATTATTATATTTTTTGTCTAGTTATTTCTAAAACACTTTTTTTTTATTTTTAAGAGAGAAAAGACTAAGATGTATGATTACAGGTTGACCACATTTCAGGAGGGATAACTGTTACATTGAGTAATAGAAGTGGGATCTAAAAAGACATTGTTAGAGGGTTGTGGTGGTGCTTGCCTAGATCCTAGAAAGCCTGGAAAGAAGGGCTGTAGGACCAAAGGGAAATCAGGAGTCTTGGGAAGCCTGTACAGGAACACCAGGTGGCAGACAGGCTAATAGAATTCCACAAGGGTGCTGCCTGCTATAAGGGCTGTAAATAAGAACTGATAGCACTCGAATCATCGTGTGTTGAGGACTGTCTATACAAAGAATTAGAGACATGAAATGTCCTTAGAACAGAGTACAGTGTGGTTGCTATCAAGCCTGATTTACTTGTGTCAACCCAGTGGGACTCATCTCAGGCGTTTCCAGACCCCTCCCTCTTGAATCCAGGCTTCTCTCAAGCCACCATTGAGCTACAACAGTTTCCCATTTAGCGTCCACTTCCATCTTCTCTGGCTTCACCCACATATAGCATTAAGGATAACATCCCTAATGTATTATTTTGAGCGCCTCTCCCCTGTTCAGAAGGAAAATGAAAGTTGCCATTTGTCTCACATTAACTCTAAACTCATTATTTGCTTTACCAAATTGTGTCCTTTCTCTTCTCTTTTTAGTCCCTTCACCTTCAGTTAAGGCCTGAGTCCACTTCCACCAGAACACGTTATCCTCTACTTTCCACTTATATTTTTCTGCCTCTGAGTATTTTTACACTTATTTCCTGTCTGTAATGACCCTCCTTTCTAATGCATGTCCCCGCTTAATTCACATACCACAGATTCATTTTCTCATTATATTTGAACTTCTTTTTTCTTTTCTTTTCTTTTCATATCATCGTTGAATGCCCACCATGTCCTAGGCCGTCTGCTATATACTAGATACCCAAAAAAAAAAAAGATAAAACACTGGCCAGTAGAGGAACTGATAAAGAAGCAAATGATTACCCTCCCGGGGCATGAAGAGAAAGGGCTCTGATGGCAGAATGCCTGAGTTCAACTCTTTCCCTCTGCTGCTTACAAGCTGTGAAGCCTTGAGAGAAAGAACGTTATCTTTTAAAACCTCAGTTTCCTCACCCGTAAAAACTAAACATACTTCATGGAGACATCGTGAGGATGAAATGGAATAATACGTTAAAGTATGCCAGTGGTACAAAAGACAGCTAGCTACTATAGCTGCACTAGTTTGTAATTATTTGTGTGTCTTTCTTGTCTGGTAGTGCTGCCTTCTCGTTGTGTTGTATTTCAGCAGCAGGAACCCTATATTCTGCTGCTACTTTACCATTTTATCTCAGGAAGTGTATATCAGTGTTTACTCACAGTGTCTTCTGATTTGAAAAATGGTCTTTAAGACAATATATTCTGGTTTACTTCCAAAGAGTAAATATTTCATTAAGATTTTCTTTTATATAGTAATTTTTACATGTAGTGTGATTTAGTTCTAGCATAGAAGAGTCTTGTTCCAGATGGAATATAAATAGACAAAAGAATGACCTGTTTCTATAGCTTGAGGATTGTATCACATAATATTGATCCATGAGAATGCCAAAATCCATCAAACCCCTTTCCTACCTGCTATTACAGCTACAAGAAGAGAAAACACATAGCGTTTGCATATATATGCACAGGTAAGTGTTTATAGTCACAGATCTTTTTTTCCTCACTCATTACAAAGATACCAATCATCGACCACCCTTTTTGTGACACAGATCTGCACTCACAGAACAGTATGCAGGGGGCCTGGCCCTGTGGCATGGTGGTTAAGTTCGGCGTGCTCCACTTTGGCGGCCTGGGTTCACAGGTTCAGATCCCAGGCGTGGACCTACACCACTCCTCAGCCATGCTAAGGTGGCAACCCACATACAAAATAGAGGAAGATTGGCACAGATGTTAGTTAGCTCAGGGCTAATCTTCCTTAAGCAAAATAAAAAGAGGAAGATGTTAGCTCAGAGCTAATCTTCCTCAGAAAAAAAAAAAAAGATAAGCATATACATCTTCATGTGCATGTAAAACAGTTTATGTGTGAAGTACTTTATACTGTCCAGAGCACTTTTTTTTATATGCATATTGGTTCACCTGGTCCACAGGAAAAAAACCAAGATGCTGATAGAGCAAGAATTTTTAACCCCATTTTATAAATTAGGAAATTGAAGCACTGGTGTTAAACTCATCAAACACATGTTTATTAACCACCTGCTTGCTAGGTCCTAGGTTTTCAATGAACACATTGTGGTGAACAAATACATGGACATTTCCTGCCCCCAATGAGCTTTCAGTCTAGATGAGGAGAGAGACTTTAAACAGATAATTCTACAAATAAGTATTTAATTTCCATGTAATATATAATGTGAAGGGAAAGTACAAGATACTATAAGCATAGATAATTGGCACCCCAGCTAATATGAAGAGTTAGAGAATGCTTCCCTAAGCAAATAACATTTAATCAGACTATGAGGGCCGGCCCCGTGGCTTAGCGGTTAAGTGCTCTCACTCTGATCCTGGCGACCTGGGTTCGGATCCCAGGCGCGCACCAACACACCGCTTCTCCGGCCATGCTGAGGCCGTGTCCCACATACAGCAACTAGAAGGATGTGCAACTATGACATACAACTATCCACTGGGGCTTTGGGGGAAAAAATAAATAAATAAAAAAAAATTTAAAAAAAAAAAAAAAAAATCAGACTATGATATGAAAAATGAGTAGGAGTTAAGCAAAGAGAGGGAACCGTTGGAGCCAGAGAGCACACCGTGTTAGATGATTCCTGGGCTGGGAAGAGGTGTTAGGGGAGCAGAAAGCAGCCGGGTGAGCTGGAACATAGTGAGTAGGGGAAAGAATGGCTCCTGTTGGGGCTGGAGAGACGTTTGGTATGGGGTCCTCTAGTCCTCTGGAGGATTTTAGAAAAGTTATGTCATATATGCAGTGGAAGCCATTGGTGGTGGGTTTGTTTTTTAGTTTTTTTGTTTTTAGCAGATGGGGTGACACCATATTTGTGTTTCTACAGAAAGTCATTTTGGCTGCTGAATGGAAAATGGATTGGAAGTTGGAGGGGCAAGACATGAGAGGACACAGGGAGACCAGTTAGCAGGCAGTAGTCAACAGTGGTCCAGGAAAGAGATGATGATAGCTGTGACCTGAGTGGCAGGAGTGGTTGTAGGGGAAAGTTGTCACATTTGTACTATTTAGAATCTAGAATTGACAGAATTCAGTGATTAAATGGCTATGGGAGGTAAGAGAGAATGTTGTCAAGAATGACTCTCAAGGGGCCGACCCAGTGGCGTGGTGGTTAAGTTCACACGCTCCGCTTTGGTGGCCTGGGGTTCACAGGTTCAGATCCCAGGCACAGACCTCCATACCGCTTATCAAGCCATGCTGTGGCAGGTGTCCCACATGTTAAGCAGAGGAAGATGGGTACGGATGTTAGCCAAGGGCCATTCTTCCTCAGCAAAAAGAGGAGGATTGGCAACAGATGTTAGCTTAGGGCTAATCTTCCTCACCAAAAAAAAAAAAAAAAAAAAAGAATGACTCTCAAGTAACGTGCCTTGCCCAAGGTCACATAAATTATTACAAAGCAAGGATTCAAATGTGTAACTTGATTCCTGGTCCATTATGTTTTCTAGTATACCAATTTGCAATCTCATAATGTTTGTAAGAGGGAAGAATCTTAGCTGTTTTTGCTATTGCAACTGCTGTTAATTTTCCAACCGTCCAAACAGCGAGACTCCGTAGTACACTGTGTAGATCTGAGAGGATTTAACTGAGAACCACAGGGTCTGGACAAAAGACTATATAGGGATGTATTTTGAGCATTCTCACCATATGCATCTTTATTTATTTATTTATTTATTTATTTTGTGAGGAAGATCAGCCCTGAGCTAACATCCGTGCTAATCCTCCTCTTTTTGCTGAGGAAGACCGGCTCTGAGCTAACATCTATTGCCAATCCTCCTCCTTTTTTTTTTTTTTCCCCGCCCAAAGCCCCAGTAGATAGTTGTATGTCATAGTTGCACATCCTTCTAGTTGCTGTATGTGGGATGGGGCCTCAGCATGGCCGGAGAAGCGGTACGTCGGTGCGCGCCCGGGATCCGAACCCGGGCCGCCAGTAGCGGAGCGCACGCACTTAACCGCTAAGCCACGGGGCCAGCCCCTGCGTCTTTAAAATAGTAAAGATTCAACTTATAGCTAGACAAAAGGACCTTCATATTTGTATTCCCTCCACTTCCGTTACAGAGAGGAAACCTGACAATTTATCTTTCATTGGAATCATGACTTTATAATTTAGATATGCTCTTATATATACATAGTTATGGAAGAGAAATATATTCATACCCTGAAAGTAAGCACTGATTTACATGCCCAGGGCATAAAGGAAATTGAGTCTATCCTGCCTATTTTCCATATGTTTTATATGTTTGATTTCTGGGTAAAGCTCTGGTTTGGGAGTAATGCTGAATGATTTTAGAGTGTAAAGATTTGAGTCTTTTACCCAGTTGGGGGAAAGGAAAAAGATTAGTACCAGGAAGCATGGTGGAATTAAGAAGATATGGATAAAACCCCAAGGTGTTATTTTCAAGCCAAATTGAATTTTACTTTCCTAATTATTTTTTAAACTACTTGCAAAACTGGATTATTCCATAGACTGGTACTAATTATGATCTAATAGAATGAATCGTAGCAGCAGAGTGATTTCTTAGCTGCAAGTTAATTTTATTTTTCTCAAAGGGCAGTATTTGTAGGAAAATGTGGTGCTGTGAATAGATTTGAATAAACTACTACATTTTAAATTAAATTAAAAAGCTGTATTTAATATTATGGTTGAGATTTTACACATACAAAATGTCAGAAAATTCTAAATTATAGTTCCCACAACAGGAATAATTCAGCCAAATTGCACATATGTATTAAGGCATTAAAGTTAACACTCATGTAATAAACTACATATGCATAAGAAAGCAAGTTATGGCAGCTTTGGGAGCCATCATTTTGCATTTCCTGACTTGTACATTCAAAATCCAAGTTCAAATGTGTACAAATGTAATTGTGTTGAATTGTCTTATGTACAAATATAACTTCATGAATTGCTAACGGTTTGAAAGAAAATATGAAATTGCTTATGAAACTTGTGTGGATTTTGAATGTTTAGTTATTGCTGTGATTAATAATAATTTTAGAAATAGAGAGCATTTATATTTAAAGAAACTTTCAGGCCAAAAAATATTTGCAAATTTGAAGTTACCGCATCTGAATTTTAGAGGGAAATAAGTGAAAAAAAATCTAATGATGGGCTTTATTATTTTTTAATTGCGCAAGTATTATATGATTACTGAAAAAATAAAAACAAAATTGAAAAATATATAAAGGAAAAAATAATAATCTCCTCCCTCCCCTCCATTCCCACCACTGCTGAGGCAACCAGTGTTAGCTGCATAGTATATATGACCTTCCACATTTTTCACCATGTTCTTACAAACTTATAAACACCTATACAGGAATAGTTTTCCGTTGTTTTTACAGAAATAGGATCATGCTATATATGTTACAGTGCACCTTGCTTTGGACATCCCTCTAGGTCAGTAGATAAATCTAATTAATTCTCTTTATCAGCTGCCTAATATTCCATAGTGTAACTATCATGCATGTTATTCAGTCTCTTCCCTTTTTCCTAGGTATCCAAGTGGTATCCTGCTTTTTGCCACTTCAGCAATACTGCAGTAAAAATTCTTGAGATATATACTTATATACTGGTGCTTTTATTTATATGTAATAGGTTCCCCAAAATGGGATTGCTAGTGCAACAGCTAGGGATAATTTTAATTTTAAAATAATGCCAAGATTTTTCCCAAAAGGTTATAGCAATTCACATATCCACCAGAAATGTCTAAGAGTGCTAATTTTTGCTAACTTAATTGCTTAAAAAACTTATTTTGTGGTTGCTTTAAATTTTAATTATTTATGTAATATTTTAACTTTTTAACACTATGTGCCAGGCACTCTTATAAACACTTTACCAATATTAACTCATTAGGTCCTCATAATAATTCTATGAGGTATATAAGTATATCCCCATTTTACAGATAGGGAAACTGAGTCACACAGAAGTTAAGTTACTTGACTGCAGTTACACAGCTAATAAATAGTGGAATCAGCATTTGAACCTAGGAAGTCTATGTCCAGAGTCTATGCTCTTAACTACTATCCTATGATACCTGTATTAGTGAGATTGAACATATTTTTAAGGTTTTTTTTCTTTGTTGTCATATGTAAGCACTCTTTGTATAGTATAAGTATTTCACCATGTGTTTAAAACGTTTTCTTCCACTCTATTACTGGTCTTTTTACTTTGTTTTTGGTATCATAAACTCTTATTTCCTTTTAATTTTTAGATGATCAAATGTATCTATATTGAGTCTAGTTTTTAAATACTTCAAACAATGGAGAAGCTTTCTTTCTTTAAAGTAAATCACAATTATTATACAAATCAAATTGCCTGCAGCAGCAGTTCATAATTATTGCCATATATTATCATTTTACTCCTAAAGTTACTATGTAGTATATAAGTTTTGAGAATTGCTTGGCATTTCAATTCCTCAGATATTCATTAAGTACGTATTAAATGTTAAGTATCATTCTAGCAGTTCTACCCTCTCTCTCCTGCATCATCAGCATTGTGATCTTTGCCATCAACGTACAACAGGCTCTTTTTCCTCCATTCTCAAATATAACCTTCTCTTAACCCCACTTCCTTTACCAGCTACCACTGCATTTAAAAAAACTGCTCAGATATACTGTCTCAGGCCTATGCAGCAGACCACTGTATTTAAAATTACAATCCACTCCCTCCCAGTACTCCCAATTTTATTTACCCTACTCTACTTATTATTTCATTCAAAGTGCTTTTCACCTTCTAACATACTATCTAATTTAGTTGTTGTGAGTATTGTTTATTTCCTCTCGTTAGAATCAAAGCTGCATGAGGACAGAATCTCACTAGCACATAATAGGCTTTTAGTAAATATTTTTTAAGTGAATGAATGAATGCATTAATGCCAAGTAGTAGGGAAACAGAAACAAATAAGATACTGTTCCAGCACTTAAGTAGCTTATGGTTTAGACATTTCAATGTAATGTGGCAAATTCTGTGATAGAGGCATCCTGAAAATTTCAATAGGAAGGGAAGCAACTTAAAGAAGTTAGCTTAAGTGAAGATCTCCCCCATACACAATTTGAAAACCACTGAACTAAAAGACCTAGGTGTCCAATTTGTTTCTTTCATATCTGTACAATATACATGGGTGCATATATGTATCTATTCTGCAATACAATGCATAGTAAAATAAGTAGGTTCGTGCAGAAATTTAACCTGAAAGTTCAGGTATGTAATCAGTCCTTTAGTATAAAAATTTATAATCAGGGGCCAGCCTGGTGGCATAATGGTTAAGTTCGTGCACTCTGCCTTGGCAGCCCAGGGTTCGTGGGTTCGGATCCTGGGCGCAGACCTTACACCGCTCATCAAGCTATGCTGTGGTGGTGTCCCACATACAAAATAGAGGAAGATAGGCACAGATGTTAGCTCAGGGACAATCTCCCTCACCAAAAAAAAAAAAATTTGTAATCAGATTAATCTTTACTTTTCTGTTGTTTACTCAGTAATCTATAATATGTGGTATATCCTATGAATAAATCACCATGTTTTCATATTTAAAGATACTAATAATCTTTAATGACAGTTCTTTTTCTCTGAACAGAACATGTGACCATCTGCGTTGTATAGTGTGTGATTTCTGGATAGTAAGCTACGATGACTACATGTGGGATAAATCATGCGATTATCTGTTTTTCAGGTAGGTTTCTAAAGAACTTCACTCTGTGAAAAATGTACCAAGTACAACTTTATATTTCTTATTTTGCCATAATGTCTCTTGGTGGACTTGGCCAGATTGTGTGGCCTCCACCTCTTGAATATTTCTCTCCTCCATCTGTTCCTTTCCATCTGTCGGCTATCAGCCTAGGTAAAGATATGTTACTTCTGGCCAAGAGTATAGAAATAGCCTCCTCACTAATTTTTCTGCCTACAGTCTCTTCTCTCAGACCACTCTTCCCTTACTGAGAATTAGAGCATAAGTCTATGCCATTCTCCTGCCAAAATCCTCTGCTTTCAGAGTCATGTCCAAATTCCTTAGTCTGGCATTCAAGACCTTCCACAATCCAGCCCCCATTCATCTATCATTCAGCTTTGTGTTTCTACAACATACTTTTCACCTTTACAAGATTTTAGCTACCTCAAAGTACTCGATACTCCCATTCCTATGACTTTGTGTAAGCTCTCCACCTCCTGGGACACCTTCCCACCATTTTATCTACGCAAACCCTACCTGTCCCTCAGAATACAATTCATTGTGCATCTTCCATGATTCCCTCACCACTATCTCAACTTCGAAGTAAATTCATCCTTCCCTGTGTGTCCACAGCACTTCGTACCCGTTGTAGTACTTACTGTAATATAAGATGGAAAATCTTGGGTTGATATATGTCTGCCTCCCTCCTTGTGGTCGGGATAGTGTCTTACTCATATTTTTGTAATTTGTACAGTTTTAAACACTTACTGAGTACCTAATATTTTTAAGATGTTATAAGTTATAAAAATGTATTTGAACTACGCATTCACATTTTCAAATAAAAATTAAGAGCTAAAAGTTAATAAAGTGCATATATCATGCATTTTTGGCCCCCTAAACCTGTGCCTAGACAAAGAGTGTATTTTCAGATACAAGTAATCAGAATTTATTGCAGCATTCTCCAATAGCAAAAAGAGAAGGGTGAGAGTCATTTTTCCACACCTCTTCTGGCAGCCATTCTCATGTAAATCCACAGGAGTCTTTTCTACTTGAATAATTTTTAAACTTTTTCACATCAAGAACCACTATGAAAATCTTATGAAAACTTTGAATCCTGTACACACACACACAAAAATTCCAATATACAAAAAGATGGAAAAATTATCATTTGAGAGTTTTCACAGTCCCCAACCCAAATAAAGCTTAGTGCAGTCCCAAGATCCCAGGTCAGGTTAGCCCACTTTTAATCCCATAGTTGGAAAAGTTAGCTTTTATTTCAGGTCCATTTTGCCTTTTCTGACTTTTCTAAATCCTCTACTTTATACTATCTTCTGGTTAACCTAATGAGTGGTTAGTAATCCCCGAATGTCCCCAAGATGAACCATCAATTTTTATAAAACTAGTGTAGGATAGTAGAACACATATGTGGTGAGCACAGGCATTAAGCTTATTGGTGAATTAGTTGGTACTTGAGGAACTTGTAGTGTCGCAAGTTATCGAGAATATCAGTTGTTTTACTCTAGATCTGTGGCAGCCTGGTTTAAAAAAAATATATACTTTTAGATAAAACAATGAGAATTAGAAGATTTATTAAAAACACTATTAGGGCCGGCCCCGTGGCTTAGTGGTTAAATGCGCACTCTCCACTGCTGGCGGCCCCGGTTCAGATCCCGGGCGCGCACCTACGCACTGCTTCTCTGGCCATGCTGAGGCCACGTCTCACATACAGCAACTGGAAGGATGTGCAGCTATGACATACAACTATCTACCGGGGCTTTGGGGGAAAAATAAATAAATAAAATTAT